TTACCCTATTCTGCCAGGATTGAAAGGACGGTTATGGAAACAATTGGCCGGAAGGAAGATGATCCTGTTTCCATACTGCCCCGCACACGCATCTTGCGAGGTGTATATATTGTTGAGTTTTTTAGTTCATCGGACGTGTCTAAAGGAGCAAAAGAAGCAAGAAAACTCGGTTTTAAAGTACTGGATACAGATGCGGCCGCGAAAATCATTTTTGTGGAATCGTCAGAAGCCCGGACGAAACGTGAAAAGCAGATTGAAGACCTATCCGCTGTTCACGGAGTACAGAAAATCCGGGAAAAATCGATAAAACGTCCAAGTAATGATGTGTCTGCCGGTATCATGGGTACCGCGCTCAGTATGGGTTCGGGTACGTCTGGCGCGCTGGGGCTGAGTGGCAAAGGAGAGATCATCGGTATTTGTGATACCGGCCTGGATACCGGCGATATCGCTAATATCACCAAAGACTTCCAGGGACGTATAGTAGCCATTAACAGCTATCCGATTACACCAGACTATAACTCTTACATAAAAAATCCCGGCGGAAATGATGGACCCGCAGATCTCGACAGCGGGCATGGAACGCATGTGGCAGGGTCCGTTCTCGGAGATGGAGCCAATTCTGCCGGGCTGGCTGGCCTTAACGGGCCGATACGAGGGTTGGCACACAAAGCAAAATTGGTCTTTCAGGCAGTTGAACAGGAGATGAAATGGAAGAATCCGGCCGACCTGAATAACCTGGGCCGGTTTATCCTCTCTGGCATACCATCCGACCTGGGCAGTTTATTTAAATATGCCTATCAGAAGGGCGCAAGAATCCACTCCAATTCGTGGGGCGGAGGAAAGCCTGGGGAGTATGATATGCAAAGCCGGCAACTTGATCAATTTGTATGGGATAACAGGGATTTCTGTATTGTGGTAGCAGCCGGGAATGACGGGACTGACAAGGATGGAGATGGTAAAATTAACCCCATGAGTGTAACCGCACCCGGTACTGCCAAAAACTGTATAACTGTTGGTGCCTGTG